GTCTACTGCACCACCCTGATCTATAATTTTAGTTACCCAATCAAAAAAATCAATAAGATTAGTTTGGCATGATCTCCCTGAAGTAAACCCATGTTGTCTCTGATCTTGAAATCCATGTGTTTTTAGATGTTCATCAATCCTATCCTTTAACATGGTTTCCATCACTTTCCCCACTACTGAAGTAAGGCTTACTGGCCTATAGTTGCCCGACTCCTCCCTATTACCTTTCTTGTAAATGGGCACAACATTCGCTAACTTCCAATCTTCTGGGACTACTCCTGTTAACAATGATTGGTTAAATAAATCTGTTAATGGTTTTGCTAGTACACCACTAAGCTCTTTTAATAGCTTTGGGTGTATTCCATCAGGTCCCATTGACTTATTTGTCTTTACTTTTGACAGTTGAAATAGAACCTCTTCCTCTGTAAACTCACGTGTAATAAATGACTCATTTATCCTTTTTCTTAACTGAGGTCGCTTTCCTTCATTTTTATCTGTAAATACCGAACAAAAATATTCATTGAGGCAGTCAGCTAGACCTTTATCCTCTTCTACATATCTTCCTTCTTTTGTTTTTAATCTAACTAATCCTTGTTTCTTTTCTCATTTATGTATCTAAAAAAGTTTTGTCCCCCTTTTTTACTGACTGTGTTATTTTCTCTTCTGTGTGTTATTTGGAAGCTCTTATAACTTGCTTAGCCTCTTTCTGCCTAATCTTATAGATAATTCTGTCTTCCTCACTCTGGGTTTTTTTATAATTACTAAATGGTACTTTTAGTTTTTTACTATTTTGGCCACATCTGCTGAGTACCACAGTGGTTTCTTGAATTTTTTGCTTTTACTGACAAGCCTAATGCAATTTTCTGTTGCCTTCAGTAGTGCAACTTTGAAATAATCCCATTTCTCTTGGACTCCATTTAAATTGATCCTGTCTGATAATGACTCCTTTACACATATTCTAATTTTAGAAAAGTCTGTTTGTCTAAAACGTTTGTTTTTGTGTGGTGTGACTCAGTCACTGTTCTTATATTAAACCACACTGACTGATGATCACTGGATCCTAAACTTTCACCTACAGTAATATCTGATACCAAATCTCCATTTGTTAACACTAAATCTAGTTTGGCCTCTTTACGAGTTGGCTCCTCAACGACTTGTTTTAGAGACAATCCCAGAATATGTGTGCTCCTGGCACAAGCAGCTATTTTTGTTTTCCAATTCACATCAGGAAGATTAAAGTCACCCATGATGATAACTTCCCCCTTCATTGTCATTTTAGCTATTTCCTAAACTAGTAGATTAACTCTTCAATTTGTCCTGGGGGCCTATAAATCACACCTACACGAGTTACTGTGTGATTACCAAATTCTAACATAACCCAAATGGACTTTATGTTCGCCTCATTAACTTTTATTATGCTAGATTATATGCTATCCTTCACATACAGGGCCACCCCTCCCCCTTTCTTGCCTTCCCTGTCTTTTCTGTATGAAGAGTACCCTGGTATTGCTATGTCCCAGTCATTTTTCTCGTTACACCATGTCTCAGTAACAGCGACTAAATCTACACTATCAGTTGCCATTATTGCCACAAGTTCATGGATCTTATTCCCTAAACTGCGAGCATTTGTAGACATGACTCTAAGCTTATCATTTTTTAACAAACTTGCTACAGGCACCTTCTGTCCTTGTTTTGGGGGACAATTGGATTGATGTTTTATCACCCTTTTGCCCCCCCTCCTAGTTTAAATACATCCTAGCAAAACCTCTGAACTGCTCACTGAGAACATTTGTTCCCTTTTGAGAGAGATGCAAACCATCTTTTTTTTACAGTTTATTTCCATTCCAAACAGAGCTACCATGAGAAATAAAGCCAAATCCTTGCTCCCGACACCATTCACCAAGCCACAAGTTAAAGTCCTTAATACGCATCCGCATGTTGTTCTGAGTGTTATGCACAGGCTGAACTTTAGAGAATGACAGTGTGGAAGCAACCTGCCGTATATCATTGGCAAAAACACTAAAAACTTCCTTGACTTCTGAAACCTCATTGCAAGCCAAGTGATTTGTCCCTAGATGGACAAGTACATCCAATTCCCCTTCCTGCTTTTCTCGCTTAACAATATTACAGATACGTCTCCAGTCTCTGTGAGCAGTAGCTCCGGGAAGACACCTCACAAGACCACCATTGTCCATCTCCACACCTCTTATGATGGAATCCCCCAACAACAACTGCTTTCTATTAGGCCTCACCATAGTCTCCAAGCCTGTCTCCACAACACCACTAACCTCAGTGCCTCTCTCCACAACACCACTAGCCTCAGTGCCTCTCTCCACAACACCATTACACTCTGAAAGTACAGAAAATGAATTATGTAGAGCAACAGACTGTGCAATATGCCTTTTATCCACAACTCTAAGTCTACCAGATCCTATAGTAATCCATCTGCCATTCCTAGTACGTCTCTGCGGCAGTGGCTTTGCAGCAGTTCCAGCCTGAGTTTGTTTACCAAATAATTTACAAATCTCAGATTTCAAAAATACAATCTCCTGCCGCAAGATAGAGAACTGTCTACAGATTAGACAACAACCAAACCTCCAAAAAGTGGAACATGAAACACATGCATAGCAACTATTACACTGAACTAAGTCTGCCATTCCAATGAGGTGAATAAATTAAATCAATCGAATCTTAACTTTTTATTTATCCTCCTGAATACCTCAGATTACCTCCAGTTTATTTACAGAATATCTCCAACCACACACTTAGAAGCAACACTTAGATGAAGCAACCAAGCTATATTGGCCAAGCTAATGACAACAACCCTTATATAACTCCTAAAATCACCACCCACTAGGAATGTTTAACACCTGGGAAGGCCTATGCTTATTTGCAAACAATAGCTAATTAACCAGCAATCAATAGCAAGTAACTAACTAATCAAATCAAATGCCTTATAATTACCAACAGGAAATCAAACCTTGTGCAATCAGTAACCTTTTCCTACAGATGAATCTTACCTGTAACAGTAGAAAAGAAAACTCTTAGCACCACTCTTAGACAGTTGAAGCTTCTGTAAAACTCTCCAGAATATCTCCAACCACACATAGAAACATAGAAACATAGAATGTGACGGCAGATAAGAACCATTCGGCCCATCTAGTCTGCCCAATTTTCTAAATACTTTCATTAGTCCCTGGCCTTATCTTATAGTTAGGACAGCCTTATGCCTATCCCACGCATGCTTAAACTCCTTTACTGTGTTAACCTCTACCACTTCAGCTGGAAGGCTATTCCATGCATCCACTACCCTCTCAGTAAAGTAATACTTCCTGATATTATTTTTTAAACCTTTGTCCCTCTAATTTAAGACTATGTCCTCTTGTTGTGGTAGTTTTTCTTCTTTTAAATATAGTCTCCTCCTTTACTGTGTTGATTCCCTTTATATATTTAAATGTTTCTATCATATCCCCCCTGTCTCGTCTTTCCTCCAAGCTATACATGTTAAGATCCTTTAACCTTTCCACACACTTAGAAGCAACACTTAGATGAAGCAACCAAGCTATATTAACCAAGCTAATGACACCAACCCTTATATAACTCCTAAAATCACCGCCAACTAGGAATGTTTAACACCTGGGTAGGCCTCTGCTTATTTGCAAACAATAACAGATAAAAGATACAATAGAGCAGCAATAAAAACCATACACAATTGTCCTCTGATTATTGAAAAAATATAAAGAGACAAACCAAGCTCAAAAATGCAAAACATAAATTTGAAATCTTAAATAGAGATATTCTCTTTCCATGTGGCAGCATGTTTCTGTCACGTTTACTTACCTTTCTCCCGGTGTCCACGTGGGAAACTGCCTACTGAACGTTTCTCTCCCCAGGCGTTCGGAGATTCCGACGTCGGAAGGAAAGTTGTTTTTACATTAAGAACAATAAGGATGTGGAATTCTCTGCCTGAAGAGGTGGTCTGTACACATGTCTAAAAAGCAACTGGATACATACTTGCAAAAACATGATATACAGGGATATACCTTTTCAACTATATGGTAATAGCTTCTTCATCCAAGGATAAATCTGACTGCCATTCTGGGGTCAAGAAGGAATTTTTTTTCTAGTTTGTTGCAAAATTGGAAGCGCTTCAAACTGGGTTTCTTGCCTTCTTTTGGATCAACAGCAAAAACAGATGTGAGGAAGGCTGAACTTGATGGACACAAGTCTCTTTTCAGCTATGTAACTATGATATCAACTCAATCTAGAGACAGTTCAACCAGGTAAGTGTCAATTAATATGAAAACAATTTGCCTACTTACTGTGGGAGCACAAGGGGGCAATTCTAGCACATTGCAGTGGTTATGGTGTCTAGGTAGCTTCTTTAATATGGCAGCCTACTATAAAAATACTTTACAGAAAATATATATTCAAAATAATATTGGATGTTTTAATACATTTCACAAGTAGCAACATGGAGGCAACAGGATGCAGATCATTCAGGAGTCCATTTTCAATACACTATGACTCTTTAACACCCATAGGGTAATATAAGATCTTTTCCATTGAATTACAATTCTTTGTAAAAACTGTTGAATATGTTGACACTAGGCAATAAGTCTCTGTGTTGCCTATACTGTCATATCGAATTTTAGTCAAATTCTTGGTGCAGTTTATTCAGTCTGTTTAACAAATTTATATTTCCACCACTTTTTCTGACAGAAAAGTGATCCATTTCAAATGTTTGCAATAAACTGACAGCATTTACTATGAAGAAAACTGTTGCTTTTTAGATCACTTTTTAGAACACTTTAGTGAATACGAACAAAATAATAAATGATAGGACTTAGCCTAAACCACGAAATAGAATGGATTCTAGCCGCATCTCAAAGCCCTGCCACATACCACTTGCAGTGAACTGTGGGGAAGCACTCCAAGAAGAGAACGAGGGACTTACCCGCGATATCAGCCAGCTCCTCTCACAGGTGGGCAGGCACAAGATGGCCGACTACCTCCCTGACTCAGCACAAGAGTCGCTTTCAGTAACGGAGGATGAGGATTTGAGCACAGAGGAGACACAGACTCACCTGCGTAAGGGCCGTGCACCACCTCAAAGGCTGCAAGGACTCCCACTTGCCACTAAATCTGACATCAACAATATGGTGTTGGAACTTAAGGCCTTCTTCACCTCAGAACTGGCCGAGTTGAAGGGAGAGCTGAGCACTTTCACAGCAACATGTACCCAGCTGAGTATGGGGCTCGGACACCTGGAAGGCTCTGCAAGACAGCGCAATGTGAAGGTGAGGGAAATCCCAGATACTGTGGATGCTGCTGAATTTCCTCAATTCATTCTGAGGTTGTTCTCCTCAACCCTGACGCCCAGACAGGCAAAAGGACTGTCACTAGATGGCCTGTACCGCATCATCGGCCGCTCTCGAAACCAAGCTACTGCAACTTGAGATGTCATCCTGTGCTTTAAGACATGCAACAACAAAGAAGGATTTATGCGGGCAGTTAGGGGACAAACCCCGTATATGTTTGAGGAACACTCGCTGAGTTTCTTTCATGACCGAAGTCGCCAGACGCTGCATTGGAGAGAGTCTGTTAATGGGATAATCTTCCAACTGAGAGTTGCCAACATCCCATATAAATGGGGCAACCCAAGAGCACTCATCATTGACAAAGACTGCCATCAGCACTGACAGACCTCGCCATCGCAGGCTTGACGTTCCTGCAGTCACTGCAACTTACCTCGACCACAAGTGCCACCACCAAATCTGAGCATCGCTGGGATGTTGCCAACCTTGCGGTGTTCATTCCATAGGGATCTATTGCTCCAGGGTGACTGAACATAACTGTATTCATTGCCCCACATAAAAGCATGAAGAGTTGCGGAGTCTCAGTTCTCTGCCTCACCATACCATTGATGTTTTGTTTGCTTTGTTTATTTTCTATATTTCTGTTGATTTAATTGACTGAATACATACTTACATTTGATATTGCACATCCTTCACATACTCATGGGAGACCACGCACCTTGGTATGCTCCCCACCACTCCTATGCTTGAAATGCAAAGTACTTAAATATTCCACACACCGGCACTGCACTAAAGCCGCCACCTCCCCTCCCCCATTGAGTTCCAGGGACATGGAGCTCACTCATTCTGTCATATATCACAAGTGCCTGAGGTCTGATTAGACAGGGCTGACTCTATCTTCCTCCCATCGACAAACCCGTACGTCTACATTACAGGTACCATTAGTGGCTCATGTATTGAGTCACTAAGCATCACCTTTGTAAACTCAAGATGCACATGGAATAGGCATACCAATGATTGTCTTTAATAAGCCATTCACTAGTCCCCTCAGACCTAGCCTCGGAACCCAGGCAACATGTTTTTCATCACTCACATTACACTACATAAAAACAGGGCTAATTAGCCAGTGACATCTCCTGTTAAGCAGTTTATACACCACTTGTACTTTATCTAGCATATTTTATTTGTTGTGATCCGTCACTTAACTGTACAAAATGTTGTGCATGCATTATGCTACATTTTGTTTTTTGCGATTGTTACTCATGACATGGTTATGATTGTTTCTTCCATGCCTAAATAAAACAAAGATTGGCAAAATAATAAATTACAGAATTAAACAACATAATCACTTTTCAGAACCCTTTGATAAATATCTCCCTTTATGTTATTGTGCCCTGCAATTCTATGTTTATAGTTGCTTGAGTGTTATCTCAAAGATCAAATTAACTTGTAATCCAAGTTTTCTATCACCAACATGTTAACCACCATTAATAGTTTTCTAGAGCACAGGTAATTTAACTCAATCTTATATTAAAATAAATTTAAAAATGAGTCTAGAAACATGCACAAGATTGGAATCTACATCACACAATGAAAAAAAAGACCTTTGAAAAACAGAATCAAACTAATAAGGATGACACTGTTTTTACAACAGAACTGTCTAAATGTAACTTCTGCATTGACTTCAATGTATTCCAAAAGTATTTCATTATTGGTATTTTTGTTTTTTTACTATCACTTTTTACTATCATTTTAAAAATAATAGATGCAGACATGGCATGTGAAATGAATAGGCAGCACGGGCACTTAAGAATTAGAGATCAAACTGTAATTTCATGCTTAGATTTCTGTCCAAACATACGCTGGGTTAGGCTCCACCTCAACTCTTCCTCCGCCGATGTCAGCTGGCGGGGACGATGACCTAATATATATGTGTGGTGACTGCTGCACTTACATGAGGACTACCCAACAGGAAAGCATTGCTTAATGCTTTCCTGTGGGATTTTAGATGATGATTTAGATGATAAAAATGTAGTCACAATATGTGCATACATTTGATAAGGAAGTATTTTTCTGGAGTGAGAGGGCGTGGCTAAGGAGGCAGTCTTATGGTGCAGCATTCTGCAAAACATTTTTTTTTTTAATTCAAAAACATGAAACATTTGACCATGCAAAACTGTACAGAATATTAACGAGACCAAAACAAATGCATTAAAATTGTATTGGTGCCTGGAGTGACCCTTTAACTATTATTAACCTTGTTTTTCTTCCCAGTCAAAGCGTGTTCTTTTCACCATAGCACAACAATCACACTGTGCAGATGGTTAAAGTGACCCGTTTCTTACTGTGTTTGTTAAGCATGGTGGTTGGAACCTGGTCAGCTTCTGGATATGTGACCCTTTTGTGTCATTTTAGTGTATTTGTTTTAGGTATATAACTTTTGAATCATTATTATATTAGAATGTATTATATTTTATTGTGACATTCATTTTGTTTTTTATATAACTTATATAGGGCTTGAATGGGACACATGATGAGAAACATACAGCAAAGAATAGAGGCCAAATCCTATCAGATGCACATGGGTTGTGTTGGTGGCTGGAGTGTACTTTTTAATAAGCGGTTGGAACTGGTCCCACCTCTATTTGGGGAGTAAAAAAGTGATTCATAGATTTTAAGGGTCTGTTTAAATAGCAGCCACTGATGAAATTGTGAGATTCCGGGGTGAAAATATTAGGAGAAAAAAAACAGCTCTTTCCGTCTTAATCCACAGCGGAACTGTTCCAAGGTCCCTTGGTTGCAATCCTTTATCTGGCATGTGTAGCTCACCCACAACTCAGAATACTAAGACACAATAGTGTTCTACACCATATACCAGGAGCAATATTGTATAATGTATTTTATATGTTGTATGTTTTTAACCATTTAGTAGAAATGTGTACTTTTGTTTTAATTTCCACAGGGATAAGTAACACGTTCAGCAGCCTAGGTAAAACCTATATTGTTATATAGCCTGTGCAAAAATATATGCTCAATATTACATGTTATTACCCTGGTGGCCCATAAACCAAATCACAGTGAATAGACCCAATACGGCTTTTAAAATCTATTTCATTTATTTTACCGAGAGTATTTTTATTTTCTAATCCAGCACAGTACTTTGCTATCCTTTCATATGCATCCAGGCTAAATAATTTGATTTTATTGTATATAGAAAACAATACAACAATGGTTTGGAAGTTAGATTAAGACCTCAAAATCTTTCTGCACCTTCTACTTATTTAAATGATGGTTTCATTTCTTTTTATCCTGGAGGCTAGTTTATATTTTGAAAGTATCTCCTCATTGTAAACTTTATTTCAGAATTAATTATATCTGAACAAGAAACATTGTTTGTGTTATCATTAGGGTTTATAGCGATAACAATGGTATATGGCTCGCCTATTACTCCCACAGAAGCACGTAGCGATACTTGATCTGCGTTTCTCTCTTAATACAGTTTATTCTGCTCCAGGTTAATTTATTGTAATTCTATTAATATACAGAAGATATGTTTATCTCCGTCATTTGCATAAATAATTCATAGAGTAGGGAAGTTATTGTTAACCAGCACACAGGTGCCATCAGTCCCAACTTTGCTGAGACAGTGTCACATTTTGGGGTTCTGTCCATGCAAAACTGGTTCCCGGAGACCTGTCCCTCATTTTAAAATGTGCCAGGTATATTTCAAATGCAGGAAGGGTTTTGACTTCAGCAGTGTTTTGTGCATGGTTTGCCTTGAGGGGTAGACTCTTGGTTAGCTTGGTCACCTTATTTATGAGTCTGCCCCTTTCATGGGTAGAAACCACCCTTTGATAGGTGGGCATGCCTCTCTCACACACAGACACACGCCTTGCACAGTGTTTTTAGCAGCCTGTTCTCTTCCTGCTTTCTTCCATCTTGGAAGGTGGGCAAGTAAGGTTGATAGGTATTGTGCACTGTGGCTGTAACAATACTTACAGGAAACTCGTAATGGGCCGAGTGTGCCGAACAAAAAAAATGTTCATGCATCTTCAATGTTCATCTCTCATTGAAGTGTGGCTTGGTCCAAAAAAGGATGGGAATCACAGGACTAGCATACGGGTAACATCTATGTGGGTTCCTCACTAAGTAATGTGAGTTTGTTTATGATAGCTTATATGGTGTTAGTGAAGATGCTGTATAGGATAACAGCTCTATGTGTCAGATGTTCTAGTTTATAGCATTTGCAAGAATCACAAGAGTCACACCAATAATTATCCCTAATCTGCACAAAGGAAGCTCTTGCTGTCAGTGAAAAAACGAATTCAAAGGGCAAGTTTAAAAAAAAAAAAAAATTAAATCTTTGCTGACAATTTCTAAGTCAAAGCTCAGAGGGCTACTACAACCCATTCACTGGTACCTGTGACTGTATACTAACTCTATAGGCTCAGATTTGACTCTGCAGAGTAGTGTTAGCAGAAACATAACAGGCTGGACCTACCTATATCTGTTAATTTCTCACTCAGATCCAATAAAACCTACATTTTTTAAAAATGTTGGGGCCTGTCTTCATTTTCCATAGAATTAGTGGCACAACCTGTATGTCAGCTGTATAAGGCCCTTATATTCAATACGATACCCAGACCAAACTGGAGTAGTATTCAGGAGTGGCTGACTGTGTTTGCACTTCGTTAACATTTTATAGAAAGAAAACTAAAGTTCTCCCAGCAAATCTTGCCCCAGCCTCTCTCCTGAAGTAGCTAAAATGCAATTTAATGACAATACTACAGCTATCTGATAAAGAGAAACAAGCAATCTCACGCATAGTTGCCAACATTTGAAAATAATTTCCAGGGACACTTTGCAGCACAGCTATTAATTACTACCTTGAAAATTTACCACACCCACTGCCGCAAAGCTATGCCCACACGTGTCCAACCAACATAATAATGAATATAGTAAAAAAAAAGAAAAAGCTGAAAATTAGAAATTAATGATATAGAAGGAGAATGAATTTATAAAATGGAATTAATGAGAGAGATTGGAGCAAAAGGAAAACATATGCACATATTCCATGAGCCCCTTTACATGCCACCAATTCAACACGTTGAATGTCTCAGATTGAGGCTTCAGTCACCACTCCACTGCTTCTGATTCTTCTAGTTCCTGGAGTCTGCAGGTATTATGCAGAGAGCAGCACTATACAGGGAGTACTGACTGTCCCAGGATATTATACACACAGATCTGTATTATACAGAGAGCATCACTATGCAGGGAGCACTGACTGTCCCGGGATATTATACACAGACTTGTGTTATTCAGAGAGCAGCACTATAAAGGGAGCACTGACTGTCCTGGGATGTTATACACACAGACCTGTATTATACAGAGAGCAGCACTATACAGGGAGCACTGACTGTCCCGGGATATTATACACAGACTTGTGTTATACAGAGAGCAGCACTATACAGGGAGCACTGACTGCCCTGGGATGTTTTACACACAGACTTGTTCTATACAGGGAGCACTAACTGTCCCGGGATATTATACACAGACTTGTGTTATTCAGAGAGCAGCACTATACAGGGAGCACTGACTGTCCTGGGATATTATACACAGACCTGTATTATACAGAGAGTAGAGACAGTAGCACTATGGTATTTTTTATTGGACTAACATAATTTTTTAATGACTAGCTTTCGGGAGAACCTCCCTTTCTCAAGTCTGAAGCATTTCTGAGCAAAACGACACATAGAATTCATATATAAGCATTCATGCATACGAGTATGGGAAAGCATAGGTCTTTCCCATACTCATATGCATGAATGCTTATATATATATTACTGTGCGTTTATATTTGTGTATATGAGTTCATGTGCATTTATGTATATGTACATGTGTGTGTGCATGTATAAAGTGTACCATCCTGTGCACTGTCTGCTTGTTTGTTTTTCTTTTCCCTCTCTCCCCCCTCACTCTGCTCGTCAACAAGATATTTATGACCCTCTGCTAAGATGGTGTCTATTTTCTAACAAACCTGTGTCTTATCTGCACTCATGTCGCTTTAACCCCTGTATCACAACTCAACTTTGAATTCTATGTGTCGTTTTGCTCAGAAATGCTTCAGACTTGAGAAAGGGAGGTTCTCCCGAAAGCTTGTCATTAAAAAATTCTGTTAGTCCAATAAAAAAGGTATTACAAGATAAGAATTTTATCTGTTTTTTACATCTACATCACTGGACTAATATGGCTACAATCTCTACTTGAACTATATATATATATATATATATATATATATATATATATATATATATATATATATAATTCACACTGGGTCCCGCACTCCTGCTCCCAGTCTTGTTTATTGCCTAGGTGCCACTCCGACCTCAAAATAAAAATACATTGTTGGAAGTGCACTCACAGGACTCGATACTGTTGCCAAAAATGTGCCATTTATCAACTTTTGAAGCTTGAATAAATGGCACATTTTTGGCAACAGTATCGAGTCCTGTGAGTGCACTTCCAACAAGGTATTTTATATATATACATATATATTATGTATATGTGTGTCTGTATGTATTGTGATAGAGTCTATGGGAGGGTAATAGAAGGAAGGTATTTAGGACCCAGAATCCTCCATAGCCTGTACTCATTCACCTGCCCAATTAGCAACTGCTGAGGCTTTAATTAGCAGGTCTCAGAGCAGAAAGGGAAGAGATACAATCTGACCTGCGGAGTGAGCATGTCTGTGCAGAGCAGCACCAGATAAAGTGCTAAAGGTTGGTGAAACCAATGTTTATTTTGTTGATTTGTGTAGTTTATTACCTTGGTTTAGAAAGGGACATTACTTTATGTTTTGTTAGTGCTCGAATTTGAGCTAGGATTTTGTTTGTAGACTTTCCTTTCTGTTTTGCTAAAGTTTTGAACAAACTGATTGCTGCATGGATTTTGTGCACGATGTAAATAAACCACACCATTTTTGCGTAAGAGACTGTTGTTCTATACCTGTTACCCTAGAGGACTGTGTTGCTTTGCCCATAAAGGTCACAGTATGTATGTATATATATATATATATATATATATATGTGTGTGTGTGTGTAGTACACAGGTATACAGTAAGTATACACACATACACAGCACCCCTTACCCCTGTGTGTGTTTGTGTGTGTGTGTGTGTGTGTGCGCCTGCTAGTGGGAAAGCTTGTGTGTATGTCAGTGAGCTTGTTTGTAGTGAGCTTGTGTGGCAATGTGCTTGTCTGTAGTGAGCATGTGAGTGTGTCAGTGAGCTTGTCTGTAGTGAGCGTGTGTGCACGTCAGTGAGCTTTTCTGTAGTGAGCTTGTGTGTGTCATTGAAGTTTGTATTTAGTGTACTTGTGTGCATGGCTTCTACATGGGCACACAGTTGCACACCTACAGTTGCCCAGGGGTTCCACAAGCATCCCCACCGTGATGCCCATGTGCCCAGGCCAATAGAGGAGACATGCTTTCTTGCTGTGGGCCCTCTCAGAACAAGTATCTCCCTCACTGGCCCAAAGGCCCTTCATTAGTGACAGGGAGGGTGGGAGAACCTGGGAAACAGAGCGCTCCTCCCGTGAGCATGCTGTGCCAAGCATTGCCGCATGTTACCATGGCAACGCTCCGACCAGCATTCTGCTCGTGGGAGGATTGAAGACAACTCTACTAAAGACAACTCACCACCACCAGACCAACAGGGCACAGCACCCCTCACACACACAAAGCACCCCAGACACAAAGCACCCCTCACACACACAGCACCTATGACACACACACTCAGCATCCCTCACACACACAACACCTCTGACACACATACAGAGCACCACCAACAAACACAGGGCCCCTCACACACAGATAGCACCACACACACACAGCACCCCTGACACAAAGCACCACACACACACATATTTAAGCCTACCCGGCACTCCAAACAGGACAGTTGACAACTATGAATCTGTATAGCTGGCAGGAGGATCCATGAACCCACTAAATTGTGCATTGAAGCTTGAGTCCAACAGGGAAAGAGCAAGTAATTATGATAAGTGAAACTAAAAGCCATTGTCAGTATGGAGGCCTCCACACAGGGTCTCCATTTTATAATATTGTTTGTTTACATGCAGAGCCAGTAAATCTTTTTTATATCAGAAATGAATCATTCCACGGACCATGACTAATTATCCATTGTCTGGCAACTCAACCTACATTTCTGTGCATGATTAACTAACATCCAGGCACATAACACAAAGCTAGACCATTTTAGACCTCAATTACGCTATATGCCAACTGTGAAATGCTCTTAATGTTCTCACTTGAAATATTAATGTTTGTTACCACCTGTTTCAGTCTTCAAAATTATTAACATTGAAAAAGTTTGCGTAAACGGTTTGGTTTTTTTAATAAAAATAATTGATTACCATTATGAAATATTCAGTTTTTTTATTAACATTGAAAAAGTTTGCCAAAACTGTTTGTTTGTTTTTTAATAAAAAAAATTGATTACCATTATGAAATATTCCGTTTTTTTATTATTTAAAAATATATATATATTTTTTTATTAAAATAATTGATTACTATTATGAAATAGTCAGTTTTTTCTTATTAATATTTTTAAATTTAGAACAATCCAGCTCTCTTTTTTATTGCTTTAAAAGAAATGCCCACTACATTATTTTAGATTTTTAATAAGTTTATTATCCATGATATATATATATATATATTTTTTTTTTGCTTAATATGTTGCAAGATAATTTCATCATCAAATGATTCAATATGGGCAGATCCTGACTGCTATGCTGAGAAGTCGCTTCATCATTGACTGCAGACTACCATAACTGCGAAGACGACCCATACTTTATGATTTTCTCCACCTCTATATCTTACAGGTGTGCTGAGTTGTTATGCCCATGATAAAGGACTTGCTTGTACTTCTCTGCAACACTGGCAACCTTGTGAACTACCTCCCCTTCTACAGTGGAGATTATGGTTCCTTTATCACTCTGACCATCAGGTCAGAAGACCACGGACTCACCTATATCTTGCACCTACATCCATCCGGATACCTATGACCTTAGGGACTATGCTCAACACCCCTCAGATAATCATTCCCTGTAACAAAGGACACCCTACCTATTCACTCCAGGACACCTCACTGTTACGTTGTGTTCTGCTGTAGATACCCATATATCTGATGCTATCATAAGTTTAATAATTAATCCTTCATCATCATATCTCTATAAGCATAGCTTTCTGCCACATATGCGGTTAATGAATATGTGATGTCTCCTTATCCTAACTGTTCCTATATACCACTGTACCTGCAACCTCTTACAGGAGATATGATGCCAAATGTATTGTTGTATATGTTATATTACTTTAAAAAAACGTGGCCATGTGGTCATTATAGCTGTATGTATAGTTTTGTGCTTACATATTTGTCACTTATCTCATGTACAATATTTGCCTGTATTCTGCTATACACACTAAATAAAAAAAATGATTGACAAATAAAATGTTGTCTTGATATAAGTAGTTGGATAATCCTTACATCAAAAGAAAGCTGTGATGTTTGGATATTAGTTACCCTTTGATAAATTTACTTATTTTTATACCTCCATTCTTCTACAGAGGAAAATAAATTAATGGAAATTAAAAGTCTACATTATTTCTTGCATGAATTATTTATGTATCATGCATAATTGCCACTTGAGTTATCTCTATCTGAGTAATCATTCCCTCCTATTTGTCGACTAATCTCAGAGATCCATATCACATGGATGGGCCAAGATGATTACAAATATTTTAACTAGTTCAATCTCTCCCCGTATGTACTTCCATACAGTGGATATTCTTACTTTACCAAAGAATACCACATTTTTAAAGAACATAAGAAAATAAGCACAATATAAATATAAGCAGGTTGGTTATTCGTGTCCAAACAGTGAACAACAAACTTGTAAGTAAAGGCCTGCATTGGACACAGAGCTAAGAAATAATGTGTGCATGATATGACAGACATATCTAAGGTGAGAATATATATCAGGTAATAATCGGTAGAGTGTATTTAGACATTTGCTTATACAAAACATTAAGTAAGGAATGCACTGTAAAAATCACAAGCTAGTAAATGACAAGCTAGGAACCATTGGGTTTCACACCTAAGGAGTTAAAAGTAGGATTGTGCTGATGTGAGACTTAGGCAGGGCTGTCACATATAAGATTGAGTCCTTCTTCAGCCAACACCCTACAATGGGAATCGAAGAAGACCTGCAAGGTGGTCGCCGGTGGAGACAGCCAGAAAGGAGTAAGGTAAGTTGCTCTAGCTTTGGATGGAGCCACTTAGGTTCAGTGATAAATTCTGCCTGCGATGCTGCAGTGTGGCTACTATTTTGGCACAGAGGCAGTCAATGAGCCTTCCTGGAGGTCTGTTTGGTGATCCAGTGGGGACCGGGATAACTCCTGCTGGTAACTGCTCAGTAGGCCTCCGTGGAAGACGCCGATCTCGGTCTTAAAACAGGAAAATAACATTTGCAGTGGTTTCCTCCTGGCACCAGGATATGTCAGCTGTGAAAACTTAAGGGTAAAATAGGCAGTTGAAGTAATTTTAGAGCTGCGTTCTGCGGAGAGCTCTCAAGATGTTATGCTTATTAATATTTTGACTACTACATATGATATGTAATAGCAGTCTTTATGTTTGTATATACTGTATATTTGTATATACTGTTTGCGATATACAGTGTTTAATCACATAGTAAATAAAAGACAGATAATACTAATGTGTATATGCTTATAAATGTTTAGAATATTTATTTAATCATGGTATTTGATGCATTAGTCAACATTTAGATTCAAGACTGAAAAATATAATTCTACTTCGGTTTTCTCATAAATGTGATCCTCATACCGTAAGAAGTGCAACATTTTCAAGAATGTAATCACCTTTTTAATTATAATTAAGGCATATTTATGAACTAAATTAATTTAATATAGCGAAGTCAACACATCAGGAAAAAAAATGAAATAAAATATATGCATTGTGAAACCACCATAATACATGAATTATGCAGAAAAGGTACCAAAACCCCCATTGTACATAATGAATTCGAGATTTATACAAATGGTTCTAGCAGCTGCTAGAAAGACCACCCTTCATACGTGACGATCTTCTGATAAACAAGCCTTAATGCTCCTACAATCCAAAGTGGCCTAAATGCTTTGACTGGATTGGGTAGAGGTCTCCCAATGTAATACATGCAAAGCTTCTCAATTTTTTAAATTTTTTTGTTTGTTTGTGGTCCTTAAACCAATATGTGAATCCTCAATACTAGGCTCTTTTTGACATAAGCTTTAAACTGACAAACTGGTACTGGAACCGAACATGCAACGTTTAATTCAAGTTTTGTTTGTTGTTAAATCCTATCTATGCGTATGTCTCAGGGTGTTCTGTCATGTGATCCCAACACCCAGTATATCCATCTGTTCCATTTAAAACAATAAAATGTTCAAAAAAATTAATTAACAGAGGTTTTTAGTAACTGTGCAACACACTTGGCAACTGTGAAGAAATGTAAATACAATGCAGTCTCTAAAGATTGATGGAAGTTTAATGTGTTTTTAACAGCTTTTGTATTCCTTAATCTTGTTAATCTTGTTATAATGCAAATACCTATGTTTCCTATAAGGGTAAAATACTTTGTAAAGTTTTATAAGAAAAACTCCTTATTGTCTCATTTAAAATTACACCTATGTAATTTGACAAACGCTCTTTTCCATGGACGTTTGCCATGAACTCCTGGAGGAGTTTGAAAGCTGGCCTCCTGCCCACAGACTATGGTCCAGGTCTAAGACCCAGTTTAGGAGTTACCCTGCACAGACGCCATTCCTCAGTGCCCCTGGTTCAGCACATTCCCTTCATTTGAAAGGAACCAAAAGCTAGCTCCCTGGGGGCCTTTGGCATGAACAAAACACATGAACGGTCCTCAGCGGTACTTAGCTGCGACCGCTATGGAACTAATTTTGGCATGAGAACTTTGTGGTTCCCCGGTCACCTCGGTGGTACTTAGCCGCAAATATTATGGAACTGTTTTCGGCATGAGGTGACCATACAGTTCACAGACAACTTGGTTCCGGGATTTTGAACCACTTTGCAATCCACTAGGATAGCGAAAGGTGCCTGAGACTAAGACTATTTCGGCCTCAGGAGCTCCTGAATGTTGAATGTTGACCAGTAAAAGCATCAAACGCTCTGGAAGTATTTTGGGCTTGAATCACATGTGCAGCCGGTCAGAACTTTGACACGGTGGCGTTTCCCCTATACTGCATGAATCTGAGCGCTATTTGGACAACTTGGGTGCTCAGATCAGGGCTATTTAGGGATGTATGATATGTGGGGCTATTGTATATTTTTATTATGTTTTGGGGTATTTTTATGTTTTTATGATTTTGTGTTTGGCTCTCTGTTCATGGGAGATAATTAGCTTACCGATCTTTAACTCAATTATCTCCCAGACACAGAGATCTCTGGGAGGGGCTTGCATTGTATTATTTGGAGACCCCATGCTGGGGGTTGTGTTTAAAAGCAGGCAACTTGGCCATAATAAACCAGTTCCTTTTCACCCTTCACTCAGTTTGGACTAGTGTTTGGGTAGATCAGCTACACTCTGCAGCTGCAGGATAGCTCAATCACTTGAAGCTGTACCCAGGACCCTGTTCAGGGTGGGAAGTGACATTTAGACCCCAGCCAAGCTACGGCAGCTAGGGACTGAAGCACTACTGGTGTCCTGGTAATAGCTAGGAAGCGAGCTTGACAGAGGTACCCAGTTGGGGTGCCAAGCGGTCCAGGGATCAACTAAGATGCTTGTCTTTATATAGGCTGGTGGGCTTGATCTTCATCAAGTTGTGGTGTACTGGGCTAAGTGGTGGTATTTTTTTATTTATTTATTTATTTTATTTACTGGAACATTGGAAATGATTACTATACTCCATAAAGTTGCCCAAGAGTGAGTTTGTGCTTAGGACCAATATATCACGGTTATTCACTAAAGTGTGAATTGTTGAGAATTCAAAATGAATTTGCATTTTTTAGCTGGAATAACTAGAAATAGTTGAATCTTTTCAAGTCAGCTATTGTTTCCTAAAATTCACTTTGAATTCACATTGATTCCACAATAATTCACACTTTAGTGTTTTCAACACATTCAAAAAAACTCCACTTTACACTTCATTCCAGCAGTCTCATATTTATCCAAACGTTATAGATTCATTTTGTTTCCACTTATAGAACAAGATTCAGCAAAACGCATTTTCATATTGCTATTTTCTCTTCTTGGATGTGAAACATGAAAACTAATTTGCTTTTTATTTCCTAGTGCGACCAAGTCTCGTTTCTGCAACCTTGTTTTAAAATGAGAAATGGGTTACTCTGCTCGTTGTCCTAATGCTCGTCTCAGCAACTTTTGAAATAATCTACTGGCAGAATCAATTACCAAAGGTTAGTAACACACAGGCTTTTGACAGTATATATTACCATTGCCCTTATCATTTTTGGAGCAATAATTTGTATTAACCTTACTCACCACATTGTGAAATTTCCAGGGATGATAGCTGTGCACTTTGTGATGTATTCTGTTTATTAAGCATTCGAGAAAACAATAGAAGAGTTGTTTAGAGTGTAAGCTTCCAAGACAACGCAGACCTCTTTTCAGGCATTTTATGATCTTGTATTGTCTTCTAAAGCTTGGTATTTGAATCATTTTTGTTAATAAAGTATGCCCATGAATCTATTTTTTTTCTATACTTATATGTTCAACAAACTACCTACACTTTACCTATATAAACAATATTACATAACCTACCGAGTTTAACCTCTGAATTATTAAGGAAAATGCCGTATTAAACCCTGTCTGTTTAATAGACTTTATGCAGTTTCAGCACCGCACGAACTATATCTGTGTTTCAGGAAAATTAATTTATCTGTTAACGTGACATCTATTAAATGTCAAATGGGAGAGACATTTTAGTTGCCCCAAAATTATTAAACTAATTTAACAATTGCTATCCCTTAAGTTTTCTTCTGCAAAGCTTGGCCAAATTACTGCATTTACCTACATCCCTCGTGACATAATCACTGATCTCTTTAGGTTTTGGCACAATCAGTGCATGACACTCTGGGTCAAAAAGGCACTCAGAAGAATACTTTCAGACAACCTCATCAGCAGTAAGTGTCCCTGGGCAAGATGCCTAACAATTTATATCTGCCTGCCTCAAATCCTCATAAATTGCAAGCTGATTGGACCTCACATTTCTAGAATTGTAAAGTTCAGTGGTATATGTTGGTGCTTTATCATTTATAATAATAATG